TGAGGTTGGGGGAGAAAAATGATTGTGGTTTGGCTTCCAGATTTGGCGTGTTGAGGGTGAACGGGTTCCCGTGGATCCGTCCCTCTACGGTCACTTCTACGGCGGAGACTGTTACCTCATCCTCTACAGCTACAGGCTTAGTGGTCGCGAGCAACACATCATTTACACCTGGTGGGTAAAAACAAAGCGAGAACTACCTGCTGCTGTTGAGCATGTACACACACTTTCCCACCACACCCAATCCGAGACCTTCCTTGATTCTAGGAAAAATGTGTATGTGTGCGTTCCTCTTAAAGGCAGGGCCTAAAGTGCACACAGGACGAACTGGCAGCTTCGGCATTCCTCACGGTGAAGCTTGATGACTCAATGGGAGGATCCCCAGTCCAGGTGAGAGCTTGACGCACCGCTCACCTTGACATCACGTGTGAAAACGAGTTCAGATTCTGTACAGTCCTGCCCATGTTAATTAGGAGATTGAGTCTGAATAAGAGGAGTGGAAGGTGAGAAGGAGGCTACACCCAATTGCATTTCATGTCTACGTTCATGTCTATATTTGTTTGCTTATTACATTATTTTTGGCCAAACTCAACGTAGTTGTTTTTTTGTCTGGCTACCTCACAAAAACAGCACTGTAAAGAAGACATTAAGGTCTATTTAGGGTTCAGATTCTGACATATATTAAATGATGAGAGAATTAACTACAGCAGATCAAGACCAAAAAACTTTGGTCCACAAATGACCAGCAGAGGGCAGTGTCTCTTTAATGTTCAGATTTTGATATCCCACTACTGCACTCCTATACTTAACCTCTTAATGACTCCTGACTGATAAACGACATCTTCATCGCCATCAGAAGTTCTGCCACATCACCAACTAAAATGTGACCAACTGAAACTTTTACTGCATTAGCATATGCACATGACAATTACAATCTTCAGATCATTCGGACATAAATGGAATGAAAGAAGAAACAAAAACACATTTAAAAAAGTATTAAATTGAATGTTTTCAACAATTCATTTAGTACATATATTAACACATTCTGTTAAACACACTGTTGCTGAATATGCTGACAAAAACATCCTCACTTGATGTCTATTTCGTTATTCCATTTTCTATCGCGTATAGGCTAAACCAGTCATGAAAGCCACCGTTTTTCATGATGACAGTGTTGATCGTTCTCCTCATAGGTGAGGGTGACCCAGGGTCAGGAGCCTCCACACTTGATGAGTCTGTTCCAGGGCAAACCCATGATCATCCACAGCGGCGGCACCTCACGCAAAGGCGGACAGTCAACTACCGGCAGCACTCGCCTCTTCCACATCCGTCAGAGCTCCTCCCGCGCTACCCGGGCTGTGGAGGTGAGCCGTCGGGCCGGCACGTGGGCTTGTGTTTTTCCACCCTACACTTTAAACTTTTAACCCCCGTCCACGTGTATTCCCTCAGGTCAGTGTCTGTGCTTCCAATCTGAACACCAACGACGTGTTTGTGCTGAAGTCCCCGAGCGCCTTGTATGTGTGGCGGGGAGTCGGTGCCAGTGACGAGGAGTTGGCGGCTTCCAAGCATGTGGTGGCTTTCCTGGGTGGAAATGCACAATCTGTGTCCGAGGGCAGCGAGCCAGGTGGGTGTCCTCCAAAGTCCAACATAAACTAGCTTCTTTACTTTTGGCCCACGATATTACAGAAGCCAACAATGCTATTTGTACCCAGGCGGAACAGCCAATATGGCTCTTTTGGACTTCTTGATGAATCTATCTATATATCTATATATATATATCTATATATATATATCTATATATATATATATATATATATATATATATATATATATCTATATATATATATCTATATATATATATATATATATATATATATATATATAAACCGCCCATGAAAATAAACTGGAAAAATTTGTAAGGATACGCTTTGCTTTATTTATCTGCCCTCGGATGATTACAGAGGAAGGATGCATCATCATCAAAAACACAAAATACTTTAATGTAGTCTAATAAGTCTAATGTAGTGAAGTTTCAAAGACAGAAAATGTATATGAAAAGCAGTTATACTTAAGTATTTGGACCCATCTTGACCCCACATGCTTTTTGTTGCCATGGAGATGTCGCTTTTGTAACAGGTTGTTGACCCAGTGAATGATTGATCTTACTGCTGCATTCCTGGTCCGTTCTTTTGTACTCATGAGCAGATGATGCATCTAGTAGTTGACCATTGTCCAAATAGCAGCAGCAGCATCATTCTTTGTTAAAGTTCGTTGTACAAATGTTGTATTTTCGTCCCTCTCAGCGGATTTCTGGGCTGCTCTTGGCGGCAAGAAGGGTTATCAGACCTCCAAGAGTCTGCAGAACACGGTCAAGGCCCCGCGTCTGTTTGGCTGCTCCAACAAAACTGGAAGACTTACTGTGAGTGAAATAATAAGAGTACAATTTGTTGTTGTGTTACAGATGTGAAACACTTCATTTGATTTAATGATCAAAACAGTTACTTTAATTTAATAATATAAAATAGTTAATACAATCCACACAAAATCTGACTGAATTTTCATCTGATCGGTCTGTCAGGTCGAAGAAGTACCAGGAGACTTCAACCAGTCAGATCTGGCCATTGATGACGTCATGCTCCTGGACACCTGGGAGCAGGTGAGATGAGCTCTTCATGTGTAAAATGTCCTTTGGGAATTTAGAGACTACACAAAGGCATAAATACTCTTAGAGCTCTGCAAAGCTGGAAGCTGGTTGAACGTGATGATTCTTTTCTCCCGTAGATCTTCCTGTGGGTTGGCAACGACGCTAATGCAGAGGAAAGGACGGGAGCGCCCAAAATAGGTTTGTTGCTTTTCCCCTCAAGAAAGAAACATGTCTCGTTTCAGACACTATGGAATCATAGCTGTTGTATTATATCTTTTCAAAATCTGTTGAGAAAACCCATGCCATTTTTAGATGATCCTTTCAGGGTAGGTGTCATAATGAAGGGTGCTGCCCCGTGTCGCAGTTCAAATATGTTATATGTTTACTAATCCCAGATACTTTCAGGGCAGTCAGTCTTACCGTGTTCATCATTTCCAGCCGTCCAGCAACAGACAATTTCTAAGATTGTATTCATGAGGAGAATTTTTTTTTAAGTATAATATTGAGCTTTTAGGGTTTTTTGTACATACATCTACTGACCAATGTTTTCATTTAAACAATGTGAAAACTGTCTAGATGTCTATGTTAGAGACGCTGCTCATAAAAATCTTTTTTCAGCCTCTTTTTGATAATGTTCTATATTCAAAGTCTGTGGATTGTAAAGTTGTGCTTGTGAGACTAACATTACGACTGTTTTCTCACCTCCCGTCGTTGAATCTTTGCCCACATCTGAATCCCTTTGTCTCCTTCTTGCCGTGCAGCAAAGGAATACGTGGACACGGACCCGTCTGGTCGCAAGGGACTGCCCATCACCACCATCAAACAGGGAGCAGAGCCTCCAACCTTCACTGGCTGGTTCCAGGCCTGGGATCCCAAGATGTGGGAGATGAATCCATTGGACCGAATCCGTGCCCGTTTCCAAGCATAAAACCAAATGCCTTTTCTACCAGTCTGACTCCTCGGCTGTCCTGCATCTGCTAATGCAATTCACTGTACCTCCCGTCCCAAGTGCCAAAACCAACGTTACCACTGTTAGTTTGAGCGGCTGCCTCTGTGCCCTGGTCACGGTGCAGCACATGCCTTCATTATAATAAATGCATCACATCGGTAGTCAAATTACTTTTGGTCACAACAATATCTTTTACTCGATAGCGGTTCATTGAACATCCAACAGCATATCTATCTAAGCCCCTTTTATAAGATTTTAAAATAGGAAAGGAAGCCATTGGAGCCTCTCTGCTCTCTTTCACTCCAGAAGACATGCGTCATGCTTTCCTTTCTTGCCTGTCTTAACAGCCTTGTTTTTTTACCATGAGCTAGTACGTCAGAAACAGTTCACTCCATTACTACGCTGCGTTTACATATGTTGCGTTTTATCGCTGTTACTGGAATGATGCACCGTACTAGAAATTTTTCTCCATCATGTTCTGTGCTTGTGAGTGTTAAACGGCGTAGAGCGACATGTTCGCCCGTCCGTCGCCTCTGTTGCTTGACCCTGAAATGCTCACATGGATGGCTTTAAATAAAACTCCCTAAAATGTCCAACCTGTGTTTCCTATTTGACCATTTTCTGAGAAGTGGAATCAGATCCTAAACCATTAGCATTTGTAATCTAAATGAAAACACTGTCAGAAGGGTTGTAAGTCAGCTTTCACCAAGTCTCGATGGATCTCGTTGCAGTTATAAGCTCCTGTCTGAAAGCTCACATTGCAGCTGTATATCATATCATATTTTATTTGTTACATGTTTAATGTCGCACATCAGCAAGACAAGTTACTGAAATATGTAATTTAGCTGCTAATAAGCTGACTTCTGAATCTCCGCTGTCATTCAGGATGGACAGATTCATAAGAAGAAACCGCAGCGAGCAATAACACCTGTACATTTAAATAATCCCTCCACGATTCTGTGATCTGAGACATGAAGCATTTTATGTTATACAAACAGTTTAAGGCCCCTTAAACCAACTCATCTTATGAGGGAATGAAAAAAGGGAATGAAAAACTATTTCTAGGGTTCTTTTTGACAGCTACACATGTATGTTTTACAAAAAAATCACCCCAAAATAATTTACCTGTTGGATGTCTCGTTCCTTGTGGGAACACAATTGAAAATAGAGAGACTAGTATTAAAAACACAGATGTTTTTCTTTTCTTTTTTAGCTTACTTTGAGTCTCTGAAAAGACAATGTGTTGACGGTTCCCGACGCCACTAAACACAAGAAGGGAACACCTTAAAACAGCCCTTTAAATAGCCCCCCCGGTGGACACACGGCGGGGGGCGCTAAAATGGGCATCCGATGACACGGTAACCTGCATTACCAGCCTCCACAGCAATGCGCCGGCGCTCCACACATCCCTCCCCGGTCGGGCGCATGCTGGTTGGGGATAAAGCCGAGTGCCATTCGGTCATGTGATTCCTGCTTCTTTTTTTTCTCCTTTTTTTCTTTCCTCCTTCGGAGTTGAAAGGCAGGAGGAGCAGACGCGGCGGAGGGGGCCCACTTTACCTTTACTACTGGACGTGGATGCAACGTTTTCGTCCAACTTTCTTTTTCCCCTCCAACACAATATTTGTTTTTTTTTTCTTCACGATGGCGGGAGCTATTATTGAAAACATGAGCACCAAAAAGTTGGTGATAGTGGGGGTTATTCTGCTTTTGTTCCAGGCGGCTGCCTTCATGGTCGGCGGTTTGATTGGTAAGTTCTACACCTCCCGTTCATCGCCGAAACCTTCGCCTTTGTGCGGCGGGCGACGAACGTCACCCGTGCGTAAACGGGCACGAGTTGGGAAAGTTGGGGCCGTTCGCTCGCGCGCGTCCGCACGCAGGAGAAATGTGAGCCGCCGTGTTCTTCTTACACCGAGTCGCGCTCGCACAACGCGCCGCTTCACTAACGTCGCACCTCCAGGTAAAAAAAAAGGAAAATCACTGCTTTGTGTCCAGGTGCTGCCCGCGCACCTCCGGCCGCCGGCTTCGTGTCTTTGGGCCAAAATGCCGCGTTCGTGGATACTTAAAAAAACACAGGAATTTACTAAAATACATCTAACCTTTTTTTCTTTTTTTCACTTCTATAATACAACCCCCCCCACCCCCCTTTCTCTCTTCTTACCTCCCCCTCCCCCTCTTCCTCCTCACCCCCACCTCTCATGTATAATGACTGTCTGCTGTGTGTGTGTCTCTCTTTCTTCTCCCCCCCGGCAGCATCTCCACCTTTCTTTCACTCCTTCCTGTTTGAAGTCTCTCCGTCTCCCCAAATCCCCGTCGCTCTGCAGGCGGAACGTTCGCGTTTCCTTCCTCTTCCCCCTGCTCGCATTTGCATTGAGACAGACACACACGCACACACACACGCGCGCACCGTGTGCAAACAGCTGTCAAAGTTGTGTTTCGCCCGAAGGACTGTATTGGAGTTGCTGTCAAGTTTCTTCAAATCCACCCACACACACACACACACACACACACACACATTTCATAGAAAACTAGTCCATGTGAAAGATGTTTTTTTTTCCTTTTTTCTGTCCCTTCCTTTTCAGCTGCATGTGGAAAACATCCCCAAACACCAGTCCGTCTGTCCTGCGTCCCTGGGAGCTGCTGATAAATTAGCCTGTTTGGTTCCCTCCTGGCAGAGATGGTTTTAATGAAGCCAGATTCCTTTGTGTTTGCTCGGTGGCTGGGCCGGCAGGGGTAATTGAGTTGAAAGGCTCTTTTTTTTTTTTTTTTTTTTTCTTTCTCCCTCCTTGTTTCCCGACAATCCCGGGAACACGGCATGGGGTCAGCGGGCCTTCTTTGTGGACGCAGTGTGACGAGGACCAGAGGAGCCGGTGTGATGCTGGACTTGCAGGGTGTCTAGATAATTAAACTGCAAGGGGGGCGCGGATGGATAACCGGGCTTAATTCCGTTTGCTTTGTCTCCTTTGTCCCTAATGTGTCCTCTTTTTATTTTATCTTTACGCATCTGTTAACACACTGAAGGTCCTTTGACGATGGGTTTTTTACGAGTGTGTGCAGCGTATGTTCGTCAAAGGGTGTGTTAACCGTTGGTGGTGTCCCCCCCCCTCAGTTCTCACTTTCAAACAGATATAATTTGATGTCTTGATCCATGCTTTCTTTTTTACAGTTATGGATCGAAGGCAAAACCAGGAAGTAATGAAATGCACAACACTAAAGTATTCCTCCTCCAAAGTTAGTTTTTGCTAGCAGTACCTAATTTCAACTTTTTAGTCTTTGCATGTGAACTTCTGAAAAGGCCTTCATGTTCCGCCCCATGAGTCAGAATACTTCCCACAAGCGCCCTCGGCCAAGAGTCTTTCATAGATGTGCTTCTAGCGGCTTGGTGTACCGGGGCCGCAGTTTTTCTCCTCTTATTTCTCGGTAATTTGCTCAAACAAATTGGAAGTATCTGCACGCATATCTTCAAATTATTTCTACTGCCATTGGGTTGAACACGTGGACTTTCATTCAATTTGTAACAGTGTTGAATCGTACGTCCTGGTACTTGGGGACAAGTCTTTTTGTAACGAGTCTTTATGTGACTCCTTAGTGCATGTTTTGGTTTACAGCTCATGACCCTCGTCTCTGAGATTCAGCCCGGTTGGTTCCTGTATTGTTGTTGAGGTGACCAGCATCCGGGTGGCTGCTTGTTGTACGATGGGCCCTTTTTATTATGTAGCGCTTACCAGTTGTTAGTGAGCTCGCAGCACTTTCCATATCCTCTCACACCAATACGTTTTGCTTTTGTGCAGAGATTGAGGCTGTTGAAAAATGACAATCGCAATTTACAAAGCGACTGGTTCACATCTCGATCTGCTTGAATGTACTTTTTTAACAGCGGTGAAGGTTTTTGTCGTTCGTGGTGAAATACATTCCTAGAAGTGACTTGACCCCCTGTTTGTTGTACCTGCCCACAGTCCAACAGGCTCAATGGACACGCTAATTGATATTTAGAGTAGGAATTTACTGCACCGAGCATCTCAAAGCGGTCATATGTTGACCTCGTGCCTGCAGGTAACCGGTGTTTTTGTTCCTGCGTTATCACGACTCATCTTCTTGGTAAAATCCTCCGTAGAGACTGCAAACCCCAGGCGTGTCAAGCTCAGGAATCCCGATGCGTAAACAGTGTAATCGCTGTCCGAGAGCTTTCGGGAACGTTCCCTCTCCATCGCCTCACAGAGCCGGAGAACCTCGCTAGCAGGCGTTTTTCTAAACCGTGTGAAAAGTAATTGCCAAAGTGTTTCCACTACATTTGGTTCAAATCCAAACTATTCTTAATGGTCGCTAAGATATTAATATGGTTCATGCACAGTTTAATCTGGAGTGCACTGGTATTATTTATTGATTCTTACTCTAACGTATTGTGTGATTTATTAGTTTGAGGAGAAATTCGGGCCTGGCAGGAGCTTGAAACACTTTGCTGCCGTATATCAACATGACACCTCATCTAACATCTCTCCCACTCTGTATTTGTCCCCCCCTCCCAGCTCCGAGCACCACCACGCCGGTTCAGTACTTGGCCACCAAGTGTGTGGACACAACCAAACATCGACAGGAAGCCAAATTGTTCATGCCTTGGGGTCCCGACCAATGCGAAAAGATCCGCACCTTCGATGAAGCCATGGCCAAGAAGATTGAGGCCAACAACATTGTGTTTGCCGTCCACATTCCTCTGCCCAACAAGGAGATGAGCCCCTGGTTCCAGTTCATGCTGGTCATCCTGCAGTTTGACATCGCGTTCAAGATGTACAACCAGATAGGTGAGCGCCGAGGCTTTCTCACGGGATTCCAGAGAGGGCGAGTACAGCGCTGCTCGTGTTTCTCCCCCCCCAGGACGTGGATTTCAAAGACGTGGCGGAGGGTCCAAAATCTAAGCGGCTGTGTGTCCTGTTACATGTGACTTGGTCCGACTAGAATCTTGAGATAGACAAACGTTAATTGCAAGTTGCACGTTATTTTACTGCATTTTTTCCAGCGTCTTCGATTTTTCTTTCCTCTATGTTGTGTCAATATTTCTTTCGAGATTTCTCAATCTCAAGGCAAATATTTGCACGAGTGCTGTATGACCAGGCTGGCCCGCGAAATGTTCACAGCTATTGTCCCTCCCAATCACTCTGTAGATTTCAAGTGCAGAGGCCTTTTTAGAGCATTACACTCCCTGCAAGACGCCATGGTAGGATGTCGTCTCGTGTTTGAATGCTGGAATGCTTGAGAAACTCTCAAAAATGTGTGTTAATCAGTAGATTTGATGTCTGTTGCTCTGGGAGGAGCAGACCATGACGGGTGCCCTGCTGTTTGTTCTCTAAAGACCTTTTGGGGTTTTGTAGATTTGGCTTTTCAGAAACTTTTGGGGCGGTAATGAAGGAGGGGAGGAGGGGGAATTTAATCTGGATCGACTTCTTATTGTATCCCCATAAACAATGAAAAGTTTTATTATCCAACCCCAACACCCGCAATTTAATGATTTATACTGTTTGAAATCAAGACCAGTTCAGGGATTTTCCTAGTTCACTTTCATGCTTTATTTTTTTTTAATTTTTTATCCTGACTTTGTGTCACCGGTGAAATGAAAAACACAAATACGCAGTTTTAATCTGATGTCTGTAAATTGTTAATTGACTTCTTGTTTAATGCCAGATCGTGGAGGATGGCAATATCTAGTACCTGGATGAGGACCGCGTTTTAGATCCCGGTAGCGCGTCTGGATTTCCAAAAGTAGGGATTACAGAGGACGAGGAGAGAGTCCAAATAGCCTCGAGTAGAACTTTTGACTCTGAATCTTTTGGCTTCTAATGTATATGTGACTATGACACATGTTGACGTCAACTTGACCCTCTTTTTTAATTTTTTTTTTATAACAACCTCTGATGTCCCGAGTCATGATGCTTCATCATGCTCACGGACAAAAGCCTGGTTGTGAAAGTGTGTGCTGTATTTCTTCGTGCGGCCCGGCTTGTCCAAACCGCTCTGTTTCAGCGGTGGTCTAGTCATCCGCATCGTTTGCTCGCTCACATTCTTGGCCTGGAACTGCGTTGGGCGGTGCTGGGTTGTTTACTGCGTGGTGGAGGAGTCGGTGAATCAGCCTGACAACAGACAGGTCTTTTTGCCAGACGCCACAGATCTCTGAGCTACGTGACGTGGGAGAACAAGTGCGCGTGGAAGCAGCGGAGTGCTGTAGAAGCAGAAAGCCGCTACTGCTGCAGCAGTCGGATTCCCTTTTTTTTTTTTTTTTTAACCTGCAATTTTCAGACTGTTTTGAACCCATTCACCCTGGCTTTTCCTCCTGAGACGAGGTGTACGAGAAAGGAGAACTCTGTAGATTGCATTAACTATAGCTCAGCTACGCGGCTGTTTAATAGGGCATCATGTACTTGAGTCATGGAGCAGTTAAGCAGGGAAAGAGGGTCACAAATTTACATTTTTGCCCTTTATCGCTGCTATAGTATGCTGCATGATTTGATGTTAGAAAAATGTGTGGGTAGCCATCTTAAACATTTGCTTTAGATTCAGATTCATTGAGCCGAGTAGTTAATTATAATAACACCCCCCACCCGTCAAAAGAGCCAAGCCTTCGATAATTAATAAATTGGCGTCCGCAGGGCCCTCTCCGGGCCAAAGGTTTGAGGATTATGATCCGCAGCTGTATGACAACGAACACGAGGCCAACTCTTCCCTGACTACCTTTTTTTTTTATCTGTGTAACAATGTGCGTACCAGTGAAGAAGTTCGCCCCCACTAACCACTCCGCTCCAGCACAGCACCAAGCACCCGTTGGCCGGGGTCCAGCAATAACACAGCTGTTGAGGAGGCTTAGTTTCCGTGGCAATGGCCACTGGACTGGAGTGGAATGCATGCATGAGGCGAGCTGACATTCGAGGGCGTCCGTCTCGACCAATGGCAGAGCGGAGGGCATTGCAGAGACGGTCGGCTGCCAGTTCTCATCTGGTTCCCTCTCCCCCTTCCTCCTCTTCCCTTTTTTTCCTTAAAGCCCAGGCCACCGAGTTTGTTTCTCTTCATTCCAGCTTGTTTCATAACGGCACAAGAGGCACTCTGGAGGGCTGGAGGAGAGAACACTTGGCTTTGTAATGCGATCTAAAGATGCCGTTTTAATAGCCTGGCTTTGCATGTTTTTGCTGGATTCACTGGGCTGTTGGAGGCCAGCTCAAGGTCTTGTTGAAGTTTGTATCTAGTAGGAAGAAACCTAGATTGTGGGCCACCGCGGAGAGCAGACTGAATCACTGAATATGTTTACATGCTGAGAAATAATCCTTTTGAATCTTGCCTATTCAGGCTCCTTCTAGGTGACAGGACCAGATGTTAACACTAAAATGCAGGGATTCAACCTTGTATAATAGACTAAATACCAAAATAAAAACGCGTTTTGAACTGCAGTCATGAAGCTTCTCAACAATTTAAATGAATTTAATGATCGACCTCCTCTTCTCCACGCTGCTCTGGAATTAGCATGAGCAACACTGGCATGGAAATGAAGAGGACCCTTTCAGGGTATAGTGGGGGGAAATCTCCATGTCAATGCAGCGTTGTCACTTTGCTGGTGTCACAGTTTAAAGGCCGTGGCTGTCTGTCATCAGGGCTTAATTTCATCCAGTCACTGGGATAATAACAGCTAGCCGAACTATAATAAGCACTGCACAGCTTGTTTTTTTTTTTTTTTACCTTTGGCAAAAGGCGCGTTTGTACTATCAATTGAATATTTCATAAATTTATTTTTTTGTAATTATTTTGCTCTTTGACGTAAGGATGTTTATTGACAATCTTGCATACCAAAGTTTCTTTTAACGATATCATTTCTACTAAATATATACCGATCTTGTAGTGGACTGCTGTTTCTTTTTCCAGAGGACGGAGCGATGGCCACCATCGACGTGAGCCTGGCCTACAGAGACGACATGGTCAGCGAGTGGACCGAGATGGCTCACTCTTTTGAACAGAGGAAGCTCAGCTGCAACTTCACTGCTGCCAAGGTGAGGAGATGACGCTGCCTTAGCATTGGAATAACATCACTGGCATACCAGGAATGCCCTATTCCGGACATGTAGTCCGTATTGAAACACTAGAATTAGCAGCTTTCATGGCAGTTCTTCTGTGCATTTAACACAGTTACGGGATTGAGTTAACGGCGCTTTTGGAACAGTTGCGGGACACTGAGGCCTGTTCTTCCAGCTGATGGTGGTCTGTGTCTTAACTGTCAGACACCTTGCTGAGACGGCTCTGTTATCTTTAACGGATGTCTGTGGTATAAAGCAGATGTGGTGTGTTGCTGTGTTCATCCCAGACCTTTGAGAATGAGGGACGTTACTACGAGTGTGACCCACTCCCTTTCATGGAGGTCGGCAGCGTGGCCCACAAGTACTATCTCCTCAACATCCGGCTGCCGGTCAATGAGCGGAAGAAGGTCAACGTGGGGATCGGAGAAATCAAAGACATTCGTCTCGTTGTAAGTTTGCCTTTTTGATTGGGACAATCCCCCAACAAATTGATTTACCCAAATACACGACACAAATAGTTTACTCCTATTTTTTTTTCTTCTTCTTCAAGAGCATCCACCAGAATGGAGGCTTCACCAAAGTTTGGTTTGCCATGAAGACATTCCTCACACCCAGCATCCTCATCATCATGATCTGGTACTGGAGACGGATCACCCTCATGAGGAGACCTCCTGTGCTGCTGGAGAAGTAAGACCGCTCCCTCATTTTGTATTCTTTGTTCGCCTTTTGTATTGTTGGCACAGTATTTATTATTGTTCAAGAATTTCACCTTCTTTTTGGCATCGTAACGGCAGCTGAAACAAAGTGAGCAGTGTTGTGCAAGTTCGAGCTTCTTTAAATTTAGCTCGAACTTCATGTTAATAGTTTACAATTGAGTGTTGCACTAAACCGACACACTGCTGCACACACACACACACCTTCAGGGTGCGCTCACACCAGCTGGCTGAGACACCACGCGCACACAGACGCACGCCGTCCTTCTGTATGTGCCGGTGACTTCTACTGGGCCCGTTCCCATTTTCAGCATTCGTACGATCCTGGGACATGTGAGACTTTTCTGGTTTCTGGCCTGGAAAGAATTCATGTTCACAAACATTGATTGGACTTTCCTAATCCGTTGGAATATCGTATGGGAATTTCGCTGGTGTTACGCTTATTTATTTTTATTTTTTCAACTTCCCCGATTTTTCATTGCGAGCTCATTCCACTCACACAGATGGAGGCGGGCACTCCCGTCTGTGTCGGTGGGGCTCAGGACACATTCCCTGCATACCAGCCCAATGTGGTTTCACTCTGTCGACTCTACAATAGGCTCACGCCCGTCTGCAGTGGGGATTGCTTAGAACCTGCGTTACTTTTCTTCTAGTACTCACAGCATTTGCAGAAAACATTTTGTTACCACATGTTTTGAGGTTCCCTTTATAGCTGATCCCCTCCCCCCCGGGCTGAAGCTCTGCGTTGGCCTCTTTAACTATCCGTTTCCGATCACCCTTTTATCTAGTGGCGGCATGCAGGGACCTGTTGCTTCAGTCTTTCTGTAGGCCGATTGTTCTCGATTCGTGCCGGCTTATTTAATTACCTCTGAATGTCTGTCTGGATTTCAAAGGTTCAGGGAGGTTGGCTGTGATAATGAGTGACTTTGGAAAGGTAGTAAATTATGTAGAATTGAACGGGTCAGTGGGGGCTCGCTGTGCTCGTGGCGGAACACGTTCATCTAATCAATAATGTCCTCGGACCAAATGAGCCTGCTTAAGGAGATGTAGCCTTGCTCCCAAAACATCGTGTCAGCGTAAAAGATGTACTAGTACAGATTCAGGTGCAAGTCAATTAAAATGACGACAAAAAAATAAACACTTTAAATAGTTACGTATGTTTTCTCTTTAAAACGTAGCCAATTCACAAAAAGTACTGAATCATTTAAAATGATAACTATTCAATAGATATATTTAAACCTGCTTTAAACCTTCCTGATGCTACAAATGAAGTCCGTCTATGTTGTTAAAGTTTAGTCGTGAGCCTGTTTTTTGCTCCCTCAGGGTAATCCTGGCTCTGGGTATCTCCATGACCTTCATCAACATACCAGTGGAGTGGTTCTCTGTTGGCTTCGACTGGACCTGGATGTTGCTCTTCGGGGACATCCGGCAGGGCATCTTCTACTCCATGCTGCTCTCTTTCTGGATCATCTTCTGTGGGGAGCACCTCATGGTACCGTACACTGCAGCCGTTCTCCACGGCGTGATCCCAAAGGATCGATGAATCGATATGAATAGATCCCGTCCATTAAGCGCGTCTTGTCTTTTCCTCTCAGGACCAGACGGAGAGGAACCGTTTCTCAATTTACTGGAAGCAGGTCGGACCCATTGTGTTCGGCTCCTTCTGCCTTTTTATCTTTGACATGTGCGAGAGGTGAGACCGCGTTTATTTTCTTCAGAGACTTACTATACCACAGCGATTAAATATCGCTGCCACAAACCGTACTTTAACGACCCGTGAATCTCTCATATCCGTTCTGTTTTTTGTGATGAAATGTTGCCATATGAAGGTGACAGTTAATGTTTCTTTTTTGTGCCTCCAGAGGAGTCCAGCTGACCAACCCCTTCTACAGCATCTGGGCGTCTGATGTAGGAACTGAGCTAGCTGTATCCTTTTTTTTTTACTGTGTTTGACAACCGCATAAAGAGAAAAGCAAACCGCTTGTCTGACAGATATGATGGTAATAAGAGTGAACGTGACCATGTCGTGTGTTTTAATCCACGTTCAGGTTCTTGTTGTTACTAGTAACTTCCCTGCCTCTTGTTCTTGCAGTGCATGTCTGATGCATTCCTCTAGTTTGCTGAGGACCGAACTGGAAAGTGTTCAGACTAATAAGGCAGGAAATAATTCAGTAATGCCATATGTGGAAGTATTGCCCGGGGCACCGGGACTCTGTGTTTATGTGCGTGTCCCCGTTTGTTTGTTTGCATTGCTTTCTGAGCGGAGCGATGCAAGATTCATCAACTCGCCCCGTCACAAACAGCTGCCGAACTCTCACTGCTCCCCCTTCTCTTACTTTTGCGTTGCACCCGAAGGAAAAAGCAATGCAGCGCACCTGACTCTCAGTGCTTTGATGAAGACAGTCATTAGTCTGTATGTAATACCGCGTTCTGGAGCTTGTAAGGCCAGACCTGCATTCCTGTACACAACGTCTACTGGATTCACAAGGAGTCTGTAATTGTGTAAACTAAGTAATTCCATCTTTCATATCTCCTGATGAGGAAGGCGTTATTTCTACATTTCCTTGACTGGCGTTTCCTCAGATGGCGTTCATAATCGTGGCAGGGATCTGTGCCTGTCTCTACTTCCTCTTCCTCTGCTTCATGGTTTTTCAAGTCTTCCGCAACATCAGCGGTAAAAGGACGTCCCTGCCCGCCATGTCCAAGGCCAGGCGGCTGCACTATGAGGTTGGTGCTTTCTTCTTGCGTAGCCAATGGATTATTACCAATTGATATGTATATTTGATTAACTATTTAGGTACTTACTTGTCCGCCTTATTTCCCTTCAGGGACTGATTTTCCGGTTCAAGTTCCTCATGCTGGTCACTCTGACCTGCGCCGCTATGACCGTCATCTTCTTCATCATCAGTCAGGTGAGTGCCACGATGAAATATTCCCGTTAACGCCATCAAAGAGACTATTTCAGGGGGTCGATAGGGGATATATATTTTTAAATGTCAGTGACTGCAGAAACTATTTTGCTATTGTGCCAAAACATATGGGGGGTGTGTGTGTGTGTGTGTGTGTGTGTGTGTGTGTGTGTGTGTGTGTGTGTGTGTGTGTGTGTGTGTGTGTGTGTGTGTGTGTGTGTGTGTGTGTGTGTGTGTGTGTGTGTGTGTGTGTGTGTGTGTGTGTGTGTGTGTGTCCAGGTGAATGAGGGCCACTGGCACTGGGGAGAGCACACTGTGGAGGTGAACAGTGCCTTCTTCACCGGCATCTACGGCATGTGGAACCTGTACGTCTTCGCCATCATGTTCCTCTACGCACCGTCTCACAAGCGCTACGGCGACGATCAGTCAAGTGGTCAGTGCATCACGGGTAACTACATATTCGACTAACTTTCTAGATGTAGAGAGATCTCGTGTCTTTTTACTAGATGTTCTATACTGCTTTAGGAAGTAGGTAGTCTATCGGTGTACTCCAACCATTGTAGAAGTTACCTTTTTAGCCAGAGTAATTAAATATACTTGATCATATAATGGATATAGTTTTTTTTCACAACACCTGTGTGTATGCATACTTGTTATATCCAATCCAGGATAACGTTGGTTCTTCTTCACTTTAAGTTGGGGGGGGTTGGTCTACTTTTTTAGGATTGCAAAACCCTAAAAATCCTGTTCTGTTAATCAAAGTTACTATGGAAATGCCATAAGTGTCCCAGGAGCTCACTTAATTCTGATGCAGTGTCTGTCCTCTGCTGTAGAGCTGCCTATTCATCCAAAGTTTGTTTTTAGAGGGAGGTCATTCAGAAGGACCCAGATTCCCTCGGGAAAGACGGGTCTTTTTGGCCCGAGCCAGTGATTCTAATGGACACCAGGCTTCCTTCCAGACTGAGAGGGAGGGAACGGTGAGGACCGGGTGGGGGTAGGCTGCAAAGCGGGGATGTAATCAAAACCATCCATCCATCTTCTGACGTCATATACGCTGGGAGAGGAGGAGAAAAAGAAGGTCTGGGGTTCTGGAAGTGTTCCCCGAACTGCATCCAACAAGCCTTTCGCCAATTGACCTTCGGCGTTGATTTATTTGATCAGCTTTCGAGTATCACGGCCGTTTCAAACTGTAACGGAAGGGAATGTGCACAACAATAGCAGAACCAAAGACTACGTGACGAATGTTTCATGTGTTATGGGTGATTTTTGTGCTGACGATGCGTTGTGAACGTGCGTGCAGGAGATACTGGAGCAAACAGCGGAGAGGACATCCAGCTGACTACTACCATCACTCATGTCGATGGCCCCACTGAGATCTACAAGATGACTGGCAAAGAGGCCCAGGAGTAGAAGTCACCCCGGTGTTGGGACTCTCCTCTGCTACCTACTGCTCCAACAATCCCCTCCCTCGTGTGTGTGTGTGTGTGTGTGTGTGTGTGTGTGTGTGTGTGTGTGTGTGTTTTCTCTTTACATCTCTGGGCTACAAAATGGCACCAACAACCCGGTTTGTATGCAATTGACCCGTCCCACATTTTCTTTCTCTTCCTACAGAAAAACTCTCCGCTATGTAACGTGTAATGTGGCACCCTGATCGCAATTGTTTATTTCAAGACTGAACATTAACAACACTTCAATTCAGTCCGTTTCATTTCGCAGTGGAATACTTTTTTTTTTACATTTCATTCTTTGTGTAAACCGTCTGTTTGTGTAAATATTGCACACTGCTTTTGACACCAAAGTAAAGGAGATTAGTGTAGAGAGGTTAAACATAATAATTTGTTAAGACCTGGACATTTGAAAATGATGGACAGACCGATTTTGTGGATACGTTTTATCTACTCTATGACTTTTTGACTAATTGCCTGTTATATTGGGAGTCATGGCTTCGTGAATGTCACCAGTACATATTCTTCCATTTAAAGTAGATCATGTTTAGTGCTGCTGTCAATCTTTAAAGTGGTGGAGATCTTTTTTTTTTTTTTTTTTTTATATCATGGAGGAAATGTTCGGACCACACAGCCACTTTTGGAAATGCATACTGTCGTTTATGTTACAATGTAGATATCTATTTTTTATAAAGTGCTCATTTTCCACTTCATGAAATATATGCATCAAGCGCTATCAATGTTTGACGTAGACTGTAGCCCATTATAAATGTTTTTTTGTAATTTAAATAAAAACCTTTTACTTAATACCCTTGTGTATTGTCAGCGTTTGTGCCAGATGATTTGTATACAAGTGCTTATTTTTATTTAACTGTACCTTATGGTAACTTTTTTTATATTTTTAAAATGATGAACTTAATAGTTTGGTGCAAATACTGTGTGCGTGGATATGAACACGTAAACTTGTACGGTAGGGAAAGTGCGCCTCAGCATGGCGTGTTGCAGAACTACAACAAACCTGCCTTCATTTTATCATCAGTAAAGCTAACCAGAGCGCGCCAGTGCTAGACCGGAAGCTTTGATGTTTTTTTAGATCTTTCATTCGGAAAGAGGGATATTTCATGATGATTTAATGCAGGACGTTCCTGTTGCTCCCCATTAACCAATGTGCCCATGACTTACTGCGGTATGTTCACACCCAATAGATTATACATTACGTAATATTAATCCAGTCACATTCCATTAATGTGAGGACACATTAGGTCAATGCGTATACGTGTTGCAGGCTTGTGTAAATTCAAAACACAGAGAATTTATTCTAATTTTGCCGCTTATTAACGTGAAACTAGATAACTAGATAACTTTTCAACTAGCACGGTTTGCATTCCTCGACGGGTATTTTATTTTGATACGGAACGGCACGGAAGTAGAACGCCAAAGAGTCACCTTGACGCTCGTGAACATCCGCCAGCGTCTCGTTCGGTCCGCCCCGCTCCTCCCGACTGAACTCGGCTGTTCTCGTGGCGAAGGAAAAGGCGACGAGAGGGGCCAGACTGGTCGTACTGGGAAGGAAAAAAAGTAGACCAAACATTTAAACAACACCACCCGTCAGCGAGAAGGGGAAAGCGTCACGACTCGGCCGGTTTGAACTCGCCGGTGAGGTCCACGAAAACCTGCTTTGAAAATATAATATATATATATATATATTCATATTTTTTGATGGTGTGACGCCAAACACATTTAAGCGTAGTAGTGAGATTGTGCCGCGAGCGACACCGCGGAGGCGAAGAGTCTCCTCCCAGTCTGTTGACGGACACGGTTTTTTGGGGCTTTCAGCGGAGAGGAGACACGACCCGACAGGTAAGACACAGCGGCGAGGCAACAGTTGGCCCCGATCTGCTCTCGCATCCGATAACGCAGTTCGCGCTGTCACCGCCGTCGGCTTTCGCAATCCTCATCCGTTTTTTTGCGCAACGCCGCCGCGGCGCCACCGCGATGAATCCACAGCCGGTTCAACGCGCGCGGCCGCGTCCGTCCGTCCGTCCGTCCGTCCCCCGCAGGGACGGTGCCGTTGGACGCTTGTTGTTCCGCCAATGTGGGGAATTCAACAGGTGATGTCCTGGGGGGCTCGAGGGCTGTCTCGGCCTTCTGACGTGATTATTCCCCACAGACCCCACCCACTGTGTTTGCCACACGATGACTGGCTTTTGGTATAAAGCAATAGATTATTCCAGAAAACATTAAAACAAAACCAAAAAAAAAATGGTTGATGGTTTGCAACAATGCCGAACCGATTACTGGTGATGGAAGTGAGGCAACACACAGGGGGAAGTGGCTGAGATGTTTACGTGGAGTTGATGTCTCTCTCCCCCCCCCCCCCACCCCTTGGCCATTAGGAGAACAGGACACAGACCGGCCATTGATAAGGACAACTCATTAGCACCCCATTCACCGCCACCAAAGCCTCCTCTCGACACACACACACACACACACACATACACACACACACACTTTCTGGCTTCATTCTGACAGATCAAGTGTCACACTACGTTTCTCTTTTTATAATGACTGAATCAGAAATCAGACAAAGGTTCAGGTGGGAGAAATATTCGTTGCGGTGTTTTGTCATTAAATCACCTGCCGGTGCACGCTGCAATACTTCTATGTGACACGTGTGTGTGTGTGTGTGCGTGCGCGCTCCTGGGCTACACACAGGTGGTGTCCCCAGGTAAAAAGCGAATCCGCTTGGTTTTGTTCCCAGATTCCCACCCGCCTTGACGATTGTGTCTGGAATCCGACAAAGTGTCTCTGGAATGCAGGCGAGGAACCTCCAGGCGCCGTCGTCCCTGCTCGTGAGCCCACTTATCTCCTTATAACGGCTAAATGTGCTCACATTCATCTGAACGGCAGAAACGGTCCCGTAAGCAATGCTTCTTGAGATGTGTGTTTTGGTGTTGGGGTAAAAATGTGACCTTTTGACATGAACGCTTCCCTTCCGTCTACCAACTCTGGGGCTGCATTTTGAGCTGTGTGAGCAGGTCGGCCCCTGCATGGCTGGCAGGATTTCCCGTGGCGTGTGATGCATGTAAATCGATTAGTAACAGGAGGAGGGGGCTGCGTGGTCGGGATGGGGTAGAACAATGCCTTGCTCGGATCAAAAAACAGAAGGGCTTACGGGACTCCCTGTGCAGCTCGGGATTGAGCGGAGGATGGATTTTAAATCGCCTCCCTCTGTCTCCGTATGAGGTTTAATTTACTGAACAAAGGGTGATCTGTTGGGATCATGTGGGAGACGGCACACGCAGCCGTAACGGTGCAGCGAGAGCCGACAACAGGCCGCTCCGGGGCCAGAATGCGGGCCGACCCGCTCTGCTGACGGCAAACAGTTCGTCGCAGGAGGAACACCGCTCGTTCGGAAAGGATCCGTTTCCTCATAGAGCGGCCTGTGGATTCCCCGCAGGCCTTTCATCACACACAGTTTGACGAAGTACGAGTTTGTGTGTGTGTGTGTGTGTGTGTGTTCGTGCCTGTGCCTGTGCTTGCTAGTTTTTTTGTGAACTTCCTTACACAGTTGAGTGGTTTACGTACTTTCTTGAACACACACACACACAGATGCTCCGCTAACGTTTCTCCGTGTGAAGGTTTCTAGACGTGTACTGTGCGTTCTGAAGTACTTGTGTCGACCTCATCAAACTGAACCTTCACAGGGTTTTAGTGTTTTTGACACAGTTGGTTACTACACACTCCTCAAAACACACATATTTCTCTCATGCATATTTTTGGGGAATTGTTCTGGAACTGAAGTAATTATTTGAAGAGTCACATCAGTTGATAAACAGCTATTTTGATAAGTCACTGCAGTCATTTATTATGTAAAAACTATCATATATGATAGTTAACCACATATTTTATAGGTAATGTTCTACATTTGATAGAAAAATTAGGTTAATTTGGGAAACTAAACATCAGATTAATAAACAACAAGTTTGTAATCCTGAACTGAATGTCGTATAACATATTTAGCCTTTCTTAGTCTGTTCGTTGCAGTGTTTTGATGAGTATGTAGTTCAACGAATATCGTCATCTTTAGAGATTATAAAGGAGATATGGGCACACATCAATCTGTGCAGTGTATATATATTTTTTTCATTACATTAGAGCCAGTGTTACAGGTAATAATTCACAACTAATGAGGGAGGAATGCGTCACGGCAGCATTATGTTTTCAAGTTACGAATCACTTTGATCCATTTAATCTTTAATTTACTGCGGTCACCATTAGAGATATCATTATTATTAATAAACACAACGACACAACTCTGTAGTTCAGACGTGTGTGTGTGTGTGTGTGTGTGTGTGCGTGCGTGCGTGCGTGCGTGCGCGCATGCTCTGCATAGTGTGTGTGTTGGTAGTCACAAGGCTGAGCCTTTTAGTGTTTTTCTTGAATTCCACCCGACCCAGAAGCAGATCTACTGAGAGGAGCCCTGGTGACATTGCGGGTACACGGTCACACCCATCTTTTGCTTTGGCATTTCATTCAAAACACACCAACTCGGGACCATCGGGGATATTTTACAAGATAATGTTTGATTTGTCGTCTGTTTTAATATATACGTGAGGATAATACCCTGGAGGCGATCAAAGGCGAGAATACCTGGGATGTTTTTCACTGCTGACTGAGGGGAAAAAAAGTCCCGGATGATGCTTACGTACTAAGCAGATTTACAAACCTCAGAATGACACATTTGCAAGGCCAAGCAGGAAGTGTTGTCATAGAAACCATCTCAGATCGGCGTACAATGGCAGTGTAGAACCCTCATTCCTGCAACTGTGTCGAGAGGTTATGATTGTGATTCATCGTCGTGGCGCTGAGTTTCCCTTTGATCGATGAACCAGACACCTGCTCATTTTTTCATCCGGCACATACTGAGAGTTGACTTCCCAGTTCAAAATACGCCATATGTCATGATCGTGTGTGTGTGTGTGTGTGTAATTGTTTCAAATGTGGTAAAACAGGAAAAACCTCTTCATATCAGTTGTGATGCACTTTACTTACCTTGTATGTCATGTCATGACAAACTGCTGTATAGACCTGCATTGACGTGTGACAACTTTCCAGTAAATAGTTTAGCAAAAGGCTTCACGTGCACACAACGCCACCTACTGGCCAAAAAGTGCTATACGGGCCGATCAGTTACCTCACAATTCGACTTATCATATGTGCAAATGTGTGCAAATCAACCGTTGTCAGTGAAGATAACAACACCAGCGCTGAGAGCCTGCCTGGGAAAACAAACTATGAGCCAACGCACAACAGAACAAAAGGCCCCTCTGATGTAAAATAAGCTTTTCAAGCAAACTTTTCTTGATGTATCCGAGAGTGGATCTTAAATGCGATAAAAGAGAAAGAACAGATTATGATGTAAATGAGCATTTTAATTCTTGAAGTGTCCTTTTTGGTTGTTGTAGTCGCTGGGTCTCCTATTAATTGTTTAAGAATGAAGTTATTGTTTTTTCTTGTTTCACAATATTGAACAGTGTACAAGCAGTTTGCATCATTCACTTTCCTTTTTTTTTTACCATACCACGACAATCAACCAATCACAATGCATGGGATTATGGGGTCTGTTTTGTGATACTGCATCAAATAACTTAATGTAACTAAATCAATTAAATGTTCACAAAACAATTAATTGTGCATCCATATTAATAAAAACATAATAGGTGTGAAAGAAACGCTTTGCATCACAGAATAATACGTTAAATCAGACTCAAAGAGGGAAAAAAACACAGACTATTTTAAAAATCAATTTTCTTTGTTTAGAAGGCCTCAGTTTGCTGCCTGCGCTGTACACGTCGCTCCATCTACGACTCTGATTGGACGTAGGGAAGGAAGCAGATAAGGTAGATGTGTTTGGAGTGTAAACTCTGTCCAAGGTTGAAGCTCCTCGCAGACGCCGACATGCAGTTAACTATCGAGCTCATTTGATGAGCGGAGATGTCGTTGGCCGGCAAAGAGGGTTTGCAACAGATGTGTGGGTAAATTAGCGCCGCCTTGATGTGATACGACATAAGATTGCTGAACAAATGTCAACGATTCCAACAAAAAAATCCCAGTCCAGGGAAGAATCATCTGTGCATCTGTAACCGTCCCACAATATCAGCGAATCAGCATTCACGCTCTTTAATATTCTTTAACCTGCCACACGCAGGTACGTTTCTCTGTCGCCCTCCTGCTGCTCGGCTTCAAACTAACAGCAGAATAAAGGAACAACATGTGTTCATTGTCGCTAAGTCCTCCCAGCCAACTCCTCTGGAACAAACCCCCCTCCAGAGAGCGCTCGGCATGCGGGAGGTGGTGCTAATGTCACAGGAGGGGGTGATATTTGACGGCGTCAAAATGCCCAACAGCTATCTGTAGGAACAAATAACCAGTGTCTGCTTCACTGAGCCTCAGGCCACTTTGTGGGTTCTGCTTCTGAGAGCCGTGTGTGGAAGGTTTTACGTAGTTTGAAGTCAGCACCCCCCCCCCCCCTATTCCCTCCCCCTCCCGTGTAGTACAAAGGAAACACTGCTCAGTGATGTGCTTTTGTGTGTTTTATGTAGTTATGTAACAAGTTGTGTACCACAGTTTGTGTACCACACTAAAGACAATGTAGCAGTAAACTGGCGACAGTCATAGAACAAGTTGTCGTGCAGTAACTTCCTTCTGCCACATGGTGGTGCTGTCGTTCTGTAGCTGGCGGCTGCTTATAAAAAGGTCAGTGGTCCCTCATTCTCAAGGCCAAAATGTGACAAGGTGCTTCTGTGTGCTTCAGCACAATCTGTCTCTCTCACAAATAAACATAAACACCATCTGTAAGTTTTGCACTGCCAGGTGGCGCAAATATATATTAAATTTGTTTTTAACTTGTCTGTTAATCTCTCTTTGAGAGATGGAAAGTATGAGTTTAAAAAAGGTATTTTCCTGCAGAGATGGTGTGTGTGTGTGTTGCACCTGCAGCGTGAGTCGGTTATTTATGCTGTCCATAGTGTGTGTGCACCCCTGTGTATTATGTTACTCTCTGTACTATTTACTGGAAGGACATTCGTGTAACCAACACAAGCAGAGTGTCATTGACACTCGCTGGGCCGAGATGATCTGGTGTTGGTTTGTGCTTTGTGGAAACAAGAAACTCTGCAGACAAGACCGCAATGCGTAAATAAAGGCCTAAAACAATGAACATGTCTTTCAATACGCAATACCAAGAAGGATAAAATGAAAGAGAGTTAACAATCAAAGCACATTTCCTTTTGGCTAAAACTGTGCTTGCAAAATTAAATATCATCAAGCACTGCAGCTTCAAACGATATCAAAAATGTATTGCCTTTCCATTTTTTTAAGTAATCCACACCTTTGAAAATTGTCCTATTTTATTTTAAATTATCTTTGATTAATAGTTTTGTGATGTGTATGTATAGTGAATAGATGGAGCCTAATGTCTCTGACGGGCTTTCCACTGACGGGGCAAAGGCCTTTTGAGGTCCCTTCACTCACACAGACACACCTTTTATGAGGACACAACTCACTCACATGCTATTTCCTCTGACTGTACAGAGCATTTCATAAGACTGTTGCCCAAACATGGGCACATCCTGCCGGGGAGGTGGCGGGGGCTTGAGCCGGCATAAAACGGCTTCCTGTCAGACAGGTGAGGAAGAATAGGAATAGTTATGACTTCACCTGAATGTGTTAATACGTCCCGAGTACAAACATTCCGACTGAACGGTCTGGAGGAAAGTTAGAAATGCAGCAGATGCATGCATTCTAATCTTAGAGACTCCAATCACAATTGACTCTTTCATAACACTTCTAGTGGAATCAGCATGCAAATTCTGTGTGTGTGTGTGTGTGTGAGAGAGCGACTGGAGAAACAGTGTCACTTTGATGGATTCTTTCATGACTTTAGCACCCTTTATGAGTCCATGGGGAAGTTTGCTGGCATCCCAAACAAAGGCCAGTATGTGTGCTCCCTCGTCGGGACTCTGAAAAAGAGCTCGACACCTGTGGACAAGGGGGCTCGCATCCACAAGTGTCTGTGAGGAGAAAAGCCCCCCCCCCCTTCGCCCGCCCCCTTTTTTTTTCTAGTTGCCTCAACATCGTCTGGGCCCCCAAAATTTTTGTCCGGTTCCACACTGTGTTACTGTTTTTAAAACGAGCTGAAACCCAAAAGAGACTCACAATCCCGGCCTGTCTCCATGTCCACAGTCACTGCAGACCAGGTGCCTCATGCGCACTCTATCAATTTGAGTCACATCGAAGAAGCTCCGAGGCTTCTCTGGATCAGATCCATCGTCACTCTGCCCTGTTCTGGTTTCACATCTTGTGCAGGGATGGTTCTCGTACAGTGGCTCCTTGTGCTGTTACCTCTCTGGGCTTTGACAAAGAGGCAATGTTCCCGCCGCACGGCTTCTTATTGGAGACGTAGACACACGTCTTACTGTGTGGAAAAATACATTCCTACCAGGAGAAATCATTCTCTGGATCTGCAAAAAACCATGATAACATCTCAGTGCACACACATCCCTATATGTGCAGGCTCCACCAGAGTAGCGTGATCTTTTAGTAACCTTTCTGTTAGTTTTGTGGGACTAACTCCCAAGGTTTGCCCTTGCACAGTTTGTCCCTTTTTTTCGAAATGCAACTACTTGTCCTTGAGTGAGAGAAGTGCACCATGTGACCCCGGAGTTGACCTTCTTGTGGTGAGAAATGGATCGAGCATGAAGGGAGGAGGAGTAAAGGTGGGAGGAGGAAGGGACTGCGGGTGGGCTGCAGAGGAAGTGGCCTCCGTGTGACCCACAGAGTGAGCCTCTTCCTCCGCCCGACGTGTCTTTGAAATTAGATGAGCAGAGGGAGGAGCAGCCGTTCATTCATGTGGCTTCTGATTAATTGTGTCTCGGACCCGTGTGTGTGTGTGTGTGTGTGTTTGTGTTTGTGTTTGTGGGGGCTTGTAAGTCAATCTGGCTGTGTAAGTCAATGCGTCTCTGAGAGCCTCTGTTCTTTTAACTAATAAATTCAACTTTCACACCTGTCTTAAAGGTCGTCTGCTGATTACACTCATTTGATTTGTTTCTTATAGAATGGAATTTTTTTTTTTTTTGCAAGATGTAACTGGAGTTTTAGGTCCACTCTTTCTCTGGAAACAAAACAAAACGTTTTTATTTTTATTTTCAGGATACCAATAATTCTGGTTGCACATTAAATGTTCTGTAATTAAACCACTTTGGGGAGTTCAGCGTTCTTTTTGGGGATTTTCCACAGTAATGACGTTCTTTCATTTATTTGATGCACTACGCAGTAATAACGCAGCATATGTGAAAACGTGTGCTTAAATGCAAACAGTTTTAACAGTCAGGTCTTTTTCTTGTTGGTTTCCCAAACTATTTGGAAAGACTAACACAATTAATGGGGAACTCCTTTAATTTGATCCATATTGGTAAGAGTCAATATGAATCAACAAATAAATGAAGCATTTTTTCTCTGAACTGCATAAGAAATGTTTCATGTATTTTAAATCTCCTCCGCTCTGGTTTAAGCCGCGTGTTGCTCTTTCGTGCTCGACGATCACCATGGCAACTGACTCAGCATAAAATCAGTCACCTGGCCTTGTGAGCATGTAGTCATGAATCAAACTTTTCTTCTTTTTTTTCTTACCGGTTAAAAGGATTTAGGTCACGACTAATGAGTGAGTCCATTGGTGTGCATTTAGTAGTTTGGTGCACTGTTATTAATAAGGGGAGCAGCTGTGTTGCAGCCGGCACACCTTAGAACTAATAGCTTCTTACCTCTCGACTCCAGATACACTCCCCTCCACCCTCCCCCGCGGGGTTTGTTGTTGCTATGGAAACTGTAGAGTCAACAAACGTGGGATTACAAAACATTTTTGTTGTTTCCTTCTTCGGAAAAGAAAGTGTGTTTGGATATGAATAATTAAGCAATGTTGATTCTTTTTTTAATAATGGTCTTTTCTCTCAAATCCATCAAAAACGTTTTGGACTTAAAAAATACAGCAATTAAAAACTACTGTTCAAAAAATAAATGAGTGAAATCCATCCATCTCTGAAGTCGGGGCGCTCGGTCGATCCCCGGCTGCTTCTGCCCACAGAAGAGCTGCACAAGTTTTTCCTTTTGTCCTCGACTATAGTTCCTCTAATTTCTTATGTCTTCACGAGACATCTGCTGCATCTTTATTGGACACAAATGTTCATTTCTACAGCAAATGTAACTGGCAGAACATCTCTGTGCAGACTCTGCGCAGTCAGCAGCGCTTATTCTGATGTGTGTGTTTGTCCCTTCTCATACAGTTTGTCTCGTGTGCTCTCACACAGTAATCTCATGCCTGTCGTTCGTGTCCTTGTTTGTTCAGAAATGTGCCGTATTTTCCTGCAGATACTGTGATCGTTGGGTCCTGAACCACATGTAGCCAGAGCTGTAGATAAAGACAACGAGGGCATGCGAGTTATCATCAGTCACTCCTGAAGTCATCGGACGCTTCCTGTGGTCCTCGGATGTCCTGAGAGGACTTTGCACATTTCAGAGGCTTTTTTGTCCACGTCCATTATTCTAATCCGTAATATCTGTTGCTCTGTGTGACGGTTGGTTTATGACTCTGAAAATATTTAAACTGTCTCTAAGCTGTGTCAGGTTTCTCCTCTCTTATCTGGCCTTCACATCTTTCCCTTATCTGAGTTCAGCGCACAGATGACACAGCAGTCCGGGAAACGGCTTCTCAGACATGGGAGAGAAAACGATACCCACACTGGCCTGTTGAACTCTGACCTGCAAGGCCAGTGGTCCGTAGACCAACACATTTCACCGGCAGAGCGTCACACATATATCAAATATCCACTGTTTGAATGAGGTC